CTGCCACACAGTGAGTGCTCAGGGATCAATTCCCCGCCCTGGGCTACTTCCTACTGTCACCTGGCAGATGTCTTCTCCGTAGTCTCATTCTGTCTCTGCGGCTTCTCGTGCAGCACCTCTTGGCCTGGCTGCTGCTGGTTGGTCTGGCTGCACTTCCTCCCCAGGAGCTCCTTCAGCACCTCCTTGCCCTTCAGCAGTCAACCCTGACTGAGCTGCTCATGAGGCTTTTATAGTCAATCTCCAGTTGGAGCATGCCCAGCAGGGCTGGGGGGGGGCTTCTCAGCTAGCTGGGCCAACGTCACTCCATCAGCTTCAGTGCGGGGTTGATTCACCCTGTCACAGGCTACCAAAATTCAATTTTAAAGTTACAAAAACATATTATTCTGAGTGAATTATAGACCCCCTAACTCGCAATCAGGTACATTTCAAAATTGGCTTCAATAAATAGTAGAATTGTTCATCGGCACAAAACACACTTGAGCAACAAATAGTCATATTTATTCTGTTAGTTTCCCATGAAAGGTCATGGTGCTAAGTGGATCATTTTTATGATTAACTCATTAACTCATGCTGTTGGTTGATTTAAAATGATCGTTTTAAAAATGTGCCTGCTTCACTGAAACGCCACTTAATGGCTGAAGACCTTTTCTGTGCTTTCTTTCCCAGGATTGGTATCCTCAGGAGTTTTTGTGTAAATGTTAGCTGTCTCTTCTCTAATCACTCTGTTCCTCAGTCCTGAGTCTTCAAGATCTATCGTGACTGTGAGCTTCCTTCACTTCATGCCCCTCTGACATAGTCCATTGGCCTCCAATTAGCTTTCCTCCTTTGGCCCAGTGATGGAGTCTGAGGTCTCACTTAATCTCTATATTCCATTGTTCCAGATGTCTCCCTGATGTCATTTCCTACTTACATAAATATGCTAATAGTATCCCTCAGCTGCCTCCCCATTTGCCATCCCCATCTCTCTGACACTGTTAAAGTCACTGAAGTAGCAGCTTATAACTGGTAGCTTTTCTTTCTCTCACCTCACTCCCAGATTCACTTCTCTCTGGCTTCCAATCTCTCCATAGAACCTGCTGGCACCAAGATCTCCCATGACCTCTTCTTGGCCAAGTCTAATGTATTCTACCTCATTCTTATTCTACATAAGCCTTCTGCAACCTTCAATCCTACAGACTCTCTGATATCCGTATGCAGCCTATAAATAGTGCTTCCTCCTTAATATGCTGTCCATCCTTGGCTTTTGAGAACCTATGTTTTCTTGGTGGTTATTCCTCTTCTCTCCTGCTCTTTCAAGGAGTTCACAGTAGGGATGTAAAAGAGTAGCTGAATAGTTGCCTACCCAATAAGCCTAGGCTTATCAGGTAGTTGAGTCGACTACTCGCATTCTATATCAGAGGCAGCAAGGGGGTAGGGGGAAGCAGGTGGCAGTGCTGGGGGGAGCCAGTTTAAAAGCTGGTTCCCTTCAGCACCATCTCTATGGTGCAGATGGAAGGGCAGGGGAGGCAGAGCTGCAGCAGATGGGGACCCAGTGTGAGCCAGGGACTGCTTCAGGCCCTACTCGGGCTGGGTCCTAGGCTGTGCCTCTGTCTTTTAAGTACAGTAAGAAGCAGGTGGTTCTTACTACATTTAAAAGGCAGAGCTGCAGCGGGGGTAGCAAGTGTCCCTCCCCTGCCCATTGGCAAATCTGTCTTTTAGCTTGACGTGTTTCTTGCTGTCTAGTCCTGCATATATCAGTGTGTCTGCAACATGCCTTAGACAGTTCTCTGCCAAAACACACAGAACAGTCCCAATTCAAAAATACAATCTTTTTTTTTGTCTGTGCCCTGGTTATCTACCACCTTGATTATTGAGGTAGTCTTCTCTCTGATATATCTTCAATCTGTCCAAGATGCAGGAGTGGCCCAAGAAGAGAGACTATATTGTGTGTCATTGGAATAAATGTTGACCTCATTAGCCAATGACATTCAGCTGTGAAAGCCCCAAGGGAATCCAAATCTGAATTTTTTCACTCCCCAGAAATGTCATTCAGCACACCTCTTCTCTGTATGTGTGCGTGCAAATTTGGTTTTGGGAATATGTCAGGTATGAATTAAGATTACATGGGACCAGAACCATCTAAACTTTGGGCTTGCTTCCTCCTGCCACTATCTTCTTAGAATCCTGGCAATGTATACAACATATCTTAAACAAATCAGAGCCACTTGGCTCCCTTCCCTCAGGCCAAATCATAACCTGACTTTGGGGGGTGGGGGGGAAGGCGGCTAAGAGTCACTTGGATCAAAAGTATTTTTCTTCCTCTTGAGTCCTGCAGCAACTGGTCTTGTAGCAAGCAGTTATGCATAGTACCACTGCCCGGTGCTTACTGCTGCATCCTGGATCCATCAGCTGAGGGGCCAGATGCTAAGGATCCCGATTTAATCTCCCCCTATACTAATCTCCCCCTATACTTTTTTTGAAAGAAGAGGGCATTCTATTAAACATAATTTGTTGCTCATGGAGAGCCAAAAATAAAATTAATTTAAATGATCAAAAATCATGATTTCCATCTATACTCACTTGCCTTCAATCCAAATATAAAATGTGTTTTTAAAAATAGTTTAAATTAGGTTGTAGCCAGAAAGAGTTCTAAAAGAATCCCATTACTGGTGGGAACAAGCCATTTGGAACAACTGTGTTGTAGCCTAGGTCAGAAGTATACTCCTTGTGCATTGAGCATCTACATTATTTTACTACGACTGGAATTGAGACAGTAGTCTCTCTTTTCAGTTAATGAATTATCGGTGAGCAATTTGGTTTGTTGTCCAAAATCATTTGCCAAATTATTATTGGTCAGTGAGTTCATGAGCAGTGTGGTATGAATATTTGATACTCAGAATTCAAGATGCATTAGCTGTTTTGATTAGACGAGTGGGATGCGTTTTTCTGTTCTGTGGCTGGATATGTGTAATCTTAGAGTCAGGTTTCCAGGCAGAATACTTGTATTTATAACATCAAAACTTGCTTTCTGTCAGTATTTTTCTCATTTATACTTAAAACACTGTTTCCACAAACATTACTGTCTATTGCGCTACAATATCCATAGGGAAACCGAGCATGAAAATGAATGCATAAACAGCCAGAGGTAATTGAATTAATTAACTGGGAAAAAAAGTCTGATCAATTTTTATGTAAATCAAACTAATTTCCCATCCCTAATTACCACATAACATAGGATTTCAGAAACAAATCCAGACACAATAAAAGTTATAACCAGTATGGCTAGTCAGCAACTTTTCATTTTGGAAAACTAGTGTTTTAATAGAGAAAAATATCACAGTTGAACTATAATGTGCAGCTCCTATTTTTACAAGTTGGTCATAAAAAGAAGGGTTTCATCTTTGCCTCCAGTATTTGACTATTGTTTTCTTGTGTTTCTGTTCTCAGTTTCCATGCACATGTGGAATATCTCAGACAAAAACTATGATGCTGGATGGAACCTACAGTGAATCTGATGCCAACAGCCTTGCAGGATACACAAGAAGCCAGATAGTGACTGAGGAAGAAAAACAAGACAAGATGGTGGTTCATTTGGCCATGACCAATGAATCTAATTCATCGCGAAAGAAGGGACTGAAAGGCCATGTCGGCCTACGCATTATCCAGAACACTCATGCGATTGATAAATACTCAAGATTAATATTCCCAGGCACCTATATATTTTTTAACTTGATATACTGGTCTGTCTTTTGCTAGAAGTATTGGGGCAGAAGCCTTTTAAAGGACTAAGTGGGTATTTTTTTAAAAAGTTCACTTTGGCTGTTAAGCTAGAAAACCAATTCTCCTATTGTACCCATGGAGCATGAAACACTGGGTATGTCCTGCAACAGCCATTTCCTGGAGAATCTGGTGTGTCAGTTACTCTGTACTCCACACCCACATTTCCCCTCTTCTGGGCAAACCAAGAGATGAGACACTTCTCTTGGTTTGCCCAACAATTACTGTATATATCTTTGGGACTGGACAATGGAGATGGTGCCTGATGTGCACTGAGGCTCAGATCTTGCAAGGTATTTAGATGCCAACTCCCATTGATTTCAATGGGAGTGAGGTGCCTAAATACCTTGGAAAATCTGGGTCAAGGCAACAACAACAGAAGAATTGCCCAGCATACACTGTTGGATTAAAGTGTTCCAATAGCTGTGCTGGGGTACCTAGAAAAAGATGACAGTTGGGCTCCTTAGTAAGAACTCAACTTTAAAAGATCTTAATGAAAACAGGGCTCTCTTCATAGCGTTCTTTCATTTTGTCCTTGGCTTATAAACAAATGGCGTCTTTTCAGGACAAACTTTCGTCATGCCAGTAGGCAAGGTCTTGCAGTCCTCATACAAACCTCCCATTGCATAAGTGGGATTGCTGCCAGAGTGAGATCTGCAGAATACGGTCTACCAAGACTACGCAGTTAGTTTGTTTTGAATTAAAAATGAAGGGACGATGTAAAGTGAACCCAAGAAACATCCTGAACTGGAGCAGTATGAACTCTGGAGCTCATTTCCAATGACAGCTTAGAAGTTTAAATAAGCCTGTTTGCTCCTTACAAACTGGAGTTGGTATGCAATACATTGATCTTGAGTACTGTCCCCTCTAAAGGAGGTGGAAGGTAACCAAATGGATGGGACCTTGGATTAGTGTGTAGGAATGGGGAGTTTCTCCAGGAGCTGCTAGCTGTTTTTGCTTCCTCTCTTTATATTTTAAAGCAGAGAACAGTGTAGAGGGCAGGGCAGGGCAGGCACCTTTCCAGTTCCTCAAAGGCTGCTTTTATTTCTAACAGAAAAATGCAGCCCACAGAGAAAATACTTCCCAGTATGCAGTGCTCCCTCTCCAGCAGAGCAGCTATGTTGTTTAGGCATGCTGCAACTAATTGTCTTTGTAACCCATACACCTAGTGGGTGTGGTTCACAGTCCCATGTAGTGGTACTTAGACCACTTCCAGCAAGAGATAAGAATAAGTGAACTCCATAGCTTAAGGCCCTAAACTAAGAGCTAGCTGGCTTTATAGTTCAAGCTGTAGAAGCTCCTACACTAAGCTCCAGAGGTCCCAGTTTCAAATTTGCCTAGTGGCTGTTACATCTTGACAGGTGACCCTCCATTTTAAAGAAAAAACTGGCCATAAATAGCACTATAGAACATCATGCACCACATTCACTCTGGTAACTGGCTTAAAAGTTTAAATTATTCTTTAGTAGCTGTAAAGGGAACAGTAGCATGCTTCTGTATATGGCTAGCATTCCATTCTTCACACAAAGCTATCTCCTCTTCCTTGGCTAGTATTGCTGACAGGAAGATACAGAATTTTGTACAAAATTGCAACAAGTCACATTTAATCTTTGCTTATTTCTTCAGGAAAATACCCAAGCATGCTGAGCTGTGGAAGTGATGTCATTAATCACAGCTGGGTGCTAATTTGGTGCACAGCAGGGTGGTCAGATGCGAACTCAGTCGAGTCTGTGCTGAAGTTGGAGGATCACTCAACAATGTGACTAAAGTATACAGCTGACTAGAATGTCAACACAGGATGTAAATAGTACAGATAATGTACAGAGCATCAAGTCTCTTGCAATTCCTTACTCATATCAAATGAAACAGTAATCCCATTTACAGAAAAATAGCTCCATACTTATTGGGCTTTTTATATGTTCAGTTTACAATAGCAGTTTTAACTTTTCTGCAGGGATTTCATGATTGGCTGGAGTAAACTTTTTCTAGCCTATCATTAATCTCTAGAACAGTGGTCTCCAACTTTTTTGAACACAAGGTCACTTTTTCAATTTAAGTGCAATGTAAGATCTACCTCATCCAAATATACTTCTCCCGCTTCCTTCCTGCCCTTTCTTTGAGGCCCGGCATCTGCTCCACCCCTTCTCCTAGGCTTCACCCTACTCACTCCATTCCCCCTTCCTCCCCCATCCTCACTCACTTTCACCAGGTTGAGGTAGAGTTTTGGGTGCAGGCTCTAGTCTTGAGCTGAGGAGTTTGGAGTGCGGGAGGAGGTCCAGGATTAGCCTGTGTGGTGGATTGGGGTCCAGGAAAGATTTCAGGGTGCAAACTCTGGGAAGGAGTTTGGGTGCAGGGTGGCTCATGCTGGGGACAGGAGGTTGGGTGTAGGAGGAGTATCAGAGCAGGGACAGTCAAAAACCAAAAATAACACATTTTGCAAGCAGTATAAGTAGTAACAACAATCCCCTCACGTATGTGTTGGGTCGGGAGCTGAAAGGGAAGAACAGTGTGTGTTTGTGAGAATGACAGACACACATTGTGTGAAAGTGATAGAGATTTGCATTGCCAAGCTCACACCATCCCCGCCCCTCTGAGTGGAGACAGGGTACAGAAGTGGGGAAAAGAGAGACACCCTCACATCAGCACCCCACCTCTTTTCCCTCCCACATCCTGCAAGCAGGAGGCTCCCAGCGGGACAGCTCCAAGGCAGAGGGCAGGAGCAGCATGACAGTGAGTGGAGGGGCAACTGAAGTGCCAATGCTTGATAGTTTCATGGCCAAACCAGTCAGGATCACCTGTCAGAGGCTCTAAGATCTACTGGTAGATCCCAATCTACTGGTTGGTGACCACTGCTCTAGAATTTATCCTGTGCCTCAATTATTGTTCTTTAAATTGCAACACGTTTCTGTGTAAGACTGAGTCTAATGAAAGTGATTAAAGAAACAAACTAAGAAATATATCCCTCTTCATTGCACATGTATGTAAGAATTGATACATTTGTGTTGTCCTAAAAGGAGAAAATATATCCTAAAGATCTCTAGCTAAAACAGAACAGAAGCCAAGAAATGGATTAATATCTCAAAGAAGACATATTCCAATATCTCAGGCTGCCACTTCTTTCCTATGCTACAGGATGTAAATAGTACATTTCACAATAGCAGCTTGAGATGAAAACCAGCCACCTTTATTATGCAAGAAGAGCTATAGATATATTCCACAGAGTCTTAGAGGCATAATTCCCTATTTAATTAAATGCTTTTTCGAGAATTAGCATTTTAAAATAAATATTTAGCCAATCAGAAACCAGTTTTATATTTAAAAATAACTTCCCTTCTTTCATGGGCACCAGAGGGGTAGCAGAGTTAGTCTGTAACTTCTTTCATGACTCAGTTCTTCTCTGATTAGCTGATGGAAA